TGTTGTGCAAAAATGGTTTGCTTCCAGACTGCTAGAGTGATGAAGCTTTCTAGAGACCAATCCACAATACATCAATACGTGATTATATAACATGAGTGAGGCCACAGGCACTTGGAACGTCTCAATAAAAAAAGGTAAGTAAACACGAAATGTATTTACTACCAAAGTCTTAATGTTTCTCTACTCTGGCATTTACAGGTAATGATCGGCAATAATAGGCGAAATATAGTAGATAACTTTTTTTATTGAGACGTTCCAAGTGCCTGTGAGTGAGGCATCCATATTAGGTAATTATATAACAGTCGTAACGTATCAGTTATACTCATAATTACATATCTATAATAAATGAGACAATCGCGAGTATTTGCGTTCGAACGTGACGTCACGCACCGTGTGTGGTGTCATCATGGACACCGCCACTGTACAGCTTCGTGACGTAGGTCTCGGGTCGGCCTGACGTCACACTGCGCCGTGCGAGAAACGCCTCACGCAGCAAGTGTAGATCGTTGAGAACAACGAGAAACTGAAAAGAAAGATAAAATATATAGAAATGAATGTAAGATATAGATGAAAATATAGATCGTGCGCGCGCCCGTGTGTTGTGTGTGTGTGTGTGTGTGTGTGTGTGTGTGTGTGTGTGTGTGTGTGTGTGTGTGTGTGTGTGTGTGTGTGTGTGTGTGTGTGCGTGTGTGCATTGCGCTTGCTTGCGTGCGTGTACGTGTATGTGCGAGTGTGTTTGAGAGATTTTAGCTAAAAGATTAAAACTTTAACTTATTTCAACTTTATTCAATTCTAACTTTATTCAACTGTTACTGACTCGTTCTGTGGCTTTCTCGTTCTAGTGAGAGTTAACTTATTGGCAAGATTTTGCGTTATAAATACTGAATGTAGGCGCAAACGCAAGAACGCCGCGTCCTCCCCCCCCCCCACACACAACAACTCGCTGAGACTTCCAAGGTTCTAATTCGCAAGAATTACATCCTGCCGAAAACGTCGCAGTGGTAACTTAAAATTAACTATGACTAACGAATGTTGTCGTGCATGTCGTCAGCTCTAATAATAGTGTGTTGTTTAACGTGAGAGACGAGGTTTTTTCACTGTAAGCCAAGTTTGCGTGACGTGTTGACTATACATCAAAGACCATTTACACATTGTACGTCCCATGATTGTTCGGTAGGCTACAATTGTATACGAACCTTGACTATATGGTGCGTTTTCGGGTGTAAACGGGTGTTTTCCGATGGCTTTGGCTTTTATCTCACCTACATTGATATAGTATCGTAATAGATCGTAATAGTAGTGCAACATTTTAACGAGGTAGGCCTTTTGTGAAGATATATCACTATTTGATAAATTGACGAGCCACTGACCGATCCAGGTGTGGGAGCGGGCATTAAGGCAGTTGCCACACATCCAAGAAACAATACCAGAATACAAATGAATAAACGCGAAGCAATCACTCGTTAGCATTTTAAAACCGATATCTTTCTTAATGTTTCCCAAATTTAGTGGCTCATAAATTGAAGTAACTCGTGACCAGACACCAGAGAGTGTCGTCATGTGAAAATAAAATAGGCACGATAATCGTGCGTCTAGCATGTCAAGACCTTTACACAAAATGTTACATAACAAGTTTAACATTAAATTAATTAAATTTTAGAAAAGAATTTAAATTAAAGATAAAATCTATAACTTAAAGGATTTTTCCAGCGTAATCAAAAGCTGGTCAAAGCCAGTACTGCTATACGTGCGCATAAATAAAAGGAAATTCGACGGTATAACCGGCTGCGCTTTATCAAGCTAACATTTCAGAACGCCACCATGCGTATATATATATATACACACACAAGCAAGTACGCACGCACGCACGCACGCACGCACAGCTGTATAAGCCGTGTAAGTGGAAACCAGTGAGCCTAATAATAATCGTATATGGGGCTTATTTTCAGTACTCATAATTTAAAGTCTAATCTGTCTTCTAATGCTTTTCAGGACATGGAACCCTTGCGACAGCTGTCTAACATGCGCAAGAGACCCTTCTGTAACGGCTTTGGTGGTTGCCGAGGTGCGTTCGGTTCGAAACGGGGCACGGATGACGTCACCGACTCCGCGGATCCGGATTTGGCAAATGACGTCAGCGGACGCCTGCGCGAAGCGGTTATATGGAGGATTCTCGGCCAAAAACTGCGAGAGCTACAGGCAATGGATCACAACGAAGAACGGGAGATGGAAGAGTCCGCGCCAGCGCAGGTGAGCCGAGCGTAGATGCCCGGAAGTGCCGTTGTCATGGTAACCCGGAATATCATGACTGCCGGTCCTCTCCCCGTGATTTCTCATGCGTCACGTGTTCTAGCCCAATATTTAATCTTTAATCGCGATTTTCTTCAAGATTGGCACCAGTTCTAATCGTTATCATAGTACCTATGGTTATAGTTTTAATAGAGTGATAGAGAAAAGGAGAGATGGGGAGGGAAGGAGGGAAGATGGTAGGAAAATAGAGAGAGGGCAGGGAAACAGAGACAGGAAAAGAGAAAGAGCGCGAGCGTAAGAGCGTGAGAAAAATACAGAGCAACAGACAGACAGATAGACAGACAGACAGACAGACAGACAGACAGACAGACAGACAGACAGACAGACAGACAGACAGACAGACAGATAGACAGACAGACAGACAGACAGACAGACAGACAGACAGACAGACAGACAGACAGACAGACAGACAGACAGACAGACAGACAGACAGACAGACAGGCAGGCAGGCAGGCAAACAGAGCAAGAAAGAAAGAGGACCGAGGAGTAGAGAGAGCAAGCGAGAGAGAGAGAGAGAGACGCACAAACACAGGGAAAGACAGTGTGTCTGGGAGAGGAGTAGTGAAAGTGAGCACACGTGCTCGTGCGTGTCTGTGCATACACAGAAGGAAATAGAAATGAAATCATGTCAGCGGTGTACGAAAACAATGAAATATCGAAAGCACTAAGTATAATTAATTACTAAATACGTTTAATATGAATTTATTAAAGTAATAATATACAGCTTAAACATTTCATATGCTATAAAATGCAATTGTTGTTTAATAAAACTAGGTATAAAATAGGGTAAAAATGTCTATTTCTTGGTCAAGCGCCTCTATTATGTATGGGTTAGATATATTTTCACTGGTTTAATAGGCTCACTGGCTGTGAGCACACTGGCTGTGAGGTTCACTGGCTGAGAGCACATCTTTATAAAATCAGTGTAAACGTGGATAACCCTTCTAGCGCCACGGTGTTGCCATGTTGTTCATATTGCCCGACGTGGTTCGCACAGTTCGATTAGATTATTGCATATAATTATATATAGATATATAGATATATATATATATATGCTAACGACGTCACACGTTTATCAATAATCGATCGTATGTCAATTATTGATTTCTATGAACTGTTGAGAAAATGTTGAAAAACCCAGGCTCGTCTCGATTGGAGCTGGTATACCGTTGGTAGAACGCCAATAGTCAATGTAGTGTTATAATGCATTAAAGGCATAATGTTGCCGTTTATCATTCATTACTACAATTCGTTGATTTGAATATACACCACAACCTAGTTGTGGTTTCTCACGCCTATCCTTGCTTCCTTCTGAATCCAATAAATGGCGAATTTCTGTTTAAGGCCATCGTTGGCGATCCACGGTCAAGATGTTTTTGACCGTCTTATAGAAGACCGGTGGTCAAGATTCCATTTTAAATTTTTCAAACGTTTTTTTTATCTCGGAAAAATAAATTATACGTCTTGCGCTACTCTGTGATTTGAATTAAGGTCTCCGAAGTTTGGATTATAACATCATCTAACAATTGATGCGGTTTTGCTTTGAAGCAAACTCGTTTATTCGTTTGTCTATAATTGCATAAATAAATAATATTTCGGAACGAAAACGTGCGTACGAAAAATACGAAGTAGTTTTCTGCTATATATATAATATATATTACTAGTTTTATATATATAATTAGTTTTCTGCTATTCGTTTTATATTACCGCTATCGCAAAATCAACTAATAATGTAATCGAACCAAAATTGCACCAGAATAGTATAACACTGGGGATGGCTGCTATTTGAAAGTCTTAGTATAGGTGTTATGTGACAGAACATGACACGCACTGTTGCAGATATACGAATGAAAGGTTCGATTTTCATTCCTTTTCACTCGCTTTTTCATTTTTGTTGCTCGTATACATGGCTATATGTATCGTATATTATCTTCTGCGTTACTGAACACGCATGAGCATCGACTCATATGCCGGTGTGCTGTTCGTAAATAGAGATATAAACGAGCGAATCCTTCAACTATGATGGTATATATGATGACGTCAGGCGCCCACGCGATTTCATGTATTAAGTGTTTACACGCTGAGCCTACGTGCGTGCCGAATCGCTTCACTCAACGTACTAGCAGCGCCCCTGACGGGAGTAGGGCGAAACACAATCCCAGTATCGTCTGCGGAAACACAATTACCTGATCGCTACTGCGTGGTCGCACGAATTACCCTAATCATGTTTTTCTAGATTGTTTTTGACTGATCCGGTCGCGTAGAAACAAATTGCCAATATCAGGCGAACTTTCTGAAAGTGACTTTGGAATGATAGGGAGATAATGTGGGAAGGAATCTGCTTTAATATGAGGAGGCGTCACTGGTGCGTGATATCCCGATAATCCTCGATAATAAAGACACTGATACGCTACGGGAACGTCGTGGTTGTTGCTAATATATTTTCCTCGCAAAAGCTTACCATGTGAAACACGTCGAGTAATGCGATTTTGTTAACCCATATGCGTAGGGCTAATCAATTTTGCCTACATGCAAAGGCAATTAGAATGTTTAACAATGATGTAATCGCTTTCAGAAATATTAAAAGCGGCATATTTATTTTGGCAATATTTTCCACTATCGATCGCATTATGCTTCAGCGTGGGGCTCATTTAGCGTTGAGATTGGAAAGAGCAATCACAGTCTGACAA